AGCATAGAAGGTCAGTAATGTTTTAGTCAAAAGTCATAAAATTCGATTTCACCAGTTCAAATTCATGTACTTTATCTTCTGTTGTGGTTTGATCTTCCTGTTTAAATTCTGGAAGATAGCATTCAACTCTGGACTTGTCCCGACCACTAAGCTGGCCGTTTTCTTAGTTGTTTTAGAACTCTTATTTCTATGTGTATGACTTTAGTTTTTCTGGGATAGCGCTCCCTTCAGAACTTCTTGGGGAGCTGGTCTGGTGCTGGTGAAATCTTTCAGGTTTTGTTTATCTGAGAATGTTCTTGTCTTCTCTTTCCATATAAAGGATACTCTTGCCAGATACAGTATTCTTGGTTGAAATTATTTTTCACTCAATACTTTGAATATATTTTCCCATTCTTTCCTTGTTTGCGTTGTTTCCGAGGAGAGGTTCTCTGTTAGCCTGATGGGATATCCTTTGTAGGTAACTTGTTTCTCTCCTGCTAGTCTGAGTATCTTGTCTTTGTGGTTTTGGTCATTCTGGCTATAATGTATCTTGGAGAAGATCTTGGGTTGATCCTGTTTGAGGTCCTTTGTATTTCTTGGGTCTGGTTCTTTGAATACCTCTCTAAGTTTGGGAAGTTTTTTTCCAGGATTTTATGGAATACATTGTCAATGCCCTTATTAGTCTCTTCACCTTCTGGGATACCAATTATCTGGATGTTTGGATGTTTAATGAGAATTTCTCATATATTATTCTTTTTTTTTTTTTTTTTTTTTTTTTTTTTTTCTCTGTTTTTGGGGGGGTTTTTTTTTGCCTTCTCTCTTCTACATCTGGGATTCAATTTTCTGTATGATCTAGTCTGCTTTTAAGACTTTCAAAAGAGGTTTTCACTTCCTGTATTATAGCCTTCATCTCCCAACAGTTCCATTTGATTCTTTTTTATGGTGTGTATTTTTCTTCTTTCAGCTCTTGCAAGAATTTCCTCACCTCCTTGAACTCATGGGATTTTTTTCTTTTGATGTTTTGATGTTCATTGTCTCTCTTCTCTCCCATCTCTGTTAGTTTTGTCACTATGGATACTCTAAATTCTTTATTAGTCATTTCCACGAATTCCATTGTACTGTCTGTGGATGAAGAGGAGTTATTCTTTCCCCTTGAGGATGAGGTATTTTCTTGGTTTTGCATATTTCTTGTGTCCCTGCAGTGATTTTGAGTCATCTGATGGGTTATTGGTTTCTTCCTAATTTCTAGAAGATCAAACTGAGTAGTTAGAAGCTTACAGGAGGATGTGATCTGCAAATTCTTTGGCATTGCATTTTTCACCCTTTGTGTCACAGATTCAGTGGGAGTTGAGGAATATGAGGATCCACATAGTATTTGGATTTTGGCAACTTTTCACTTAGACCTGTCTAGACACTCAGTGGATGGAGACTGAGCAGCAAAACGATGAGGTATAAGAAAACAGAGAAAGAGAGAAAAGAAAAAGAAAAATAGATAAAGTGAACAAATAAAAAATTACGTACTTGTTAATTTAAAAAAAAGAAAACCACATGACGCGCACTAGATCTCAGCTCTCACGGCAGACTCAGTCTTCTTCCAGCCTGCCCTTTCTTTTTGCCTAGATGGGAGGGGGAAAGGGAAGGGGATTATTACCAAGATAAAGGAGGATTTCAGAGCCAAGAGAAAGCCAACAAAATTAAAAAATTTTGTTGTCATTTTTTTTGTTTTTTTGAGAGGTTTTTGCTATAGGGCACGTGTGCTCGCCAGAAAGACAGAAACAGACAGACAGACAGAAAGTGAGAAATTACCCTCTAGGGGGATGGCCACACTGCAATCTCTTCTTTTCCATTCTTCTCTTGCTATCTTGGACATGCATGCACATGCGCTCAGCGTGAGTTTAAGCCATTGGGTCCGGGACTTGAAGCACAGTTGATTACATGGGAGTCCAGTGACATAACCATTACGCCAACTGCTGGTCCCTACTTTAAAAAATATTTAAAAAAAGAAAAAAAATGAAGAAATGAAAAGACAGAGACAGCGATGCAAAAAGAGACAGAGAGACAGAGAGAAGGATGCAGAGGCTCTACCAGGGTAAATTCTCAGCAGAATATCTTCATTGCTCTTATCTCTGAAAGTACTAGATCTCAGCTCTCATGGAAGACTCCTAATTATAAAGGATATTAATTCAATTCAGGAAGTGCATTTTGAAATCATTGTAATTAATTTAAAATAAAAAAATATTGTTTGGTTAGAGGGCATGTGCATTTGCCATAGAGAGATAGAGAAAGCACTCCCCAGTAGGTCATGGTTACACCACAATCCTTTCTCTTCCACTTCTCTAACTTGTTGGAATTTGGGGCATGCATACACATACATCCAGTATGTTTTCTAAGCTGCTGAGCTGAATTTTAACCATATGATTGGCCATGTGGGATCCAACTCTTTTAAACACTAGGCCATGGGCTGGCCTTCTGAATATTTTAAGCCCACTTTTGAGACCCATATCTTAGAAAAAAAGATTCCTTTTAAAATATTTCTAATATTAATAATGTTCTTAGTCACCCAACAATCCCAATGGAGATGTATAAGGAGATGTTGTTTTCATGCCTGCTTACACAGCATCTATTCTGCAGCCCACTGATAAAGGAGTCATTTTAACTTTCAAGTCTTATTATTCAAGAAATACTTTTGTAAGGCTGTCCTTTTTGTTCTAGTTCTTGATTCCATCAGGATTCTGGACATGTGTGCTGAAGCCCAGTACATTATTTTAAGAAATTGGAGCTTAGACTTGCACCCTGGCTGGTCATCTGGGATCGAGCTTCCTCTGTAGAGCACCTAACTACTGTGTTTTGAGGAAAGCTCCAAATTTAAAAATTCCATCTGATTTTTTTTAAAAGTAGTTTCTGTGTTGTTATTGATATTCTCTATTTAGTGAGAAATTGATATATTTTATTTTAGTTCTTTAGGTTTCCTTTAGTTCTCTGAACATATTGAATATAACTGATTCAATGTTTTAGTGAATCTAACAAGTCGTCTTTAAGAAGTTTATATTGACTGCTTTCTTTTCCTGTGAATGACATATTTTTTTTTTTTACATGTTTCATTTTTTTTTTTTTTTTTTTTTTTACTTTTTTTTTTTTACATGTTTCATCTTTTTTTTTTTTTTTTTAAGAACAGTTGTACATTTGATACAATGTGGCATCCGAGGAAATCAGATTATCTTTTCTCCACAGGGTTTGTTTTTCTTGTTGCTGCTTTAATGTTTAAAGATTTGTACTAATTCTGTCCAGTCTGTATTATTTATTATATGTGGCCAGTTGCACCTCTGTTTATTTAGCTTAGTGGTCAGCTCATGATATTTCATTAGATGCCTAGAGCCAGTAAGCTTTCTAGCCTTTGCTAAGATGCTCTGTATGTGTCCTGGGCATGTGTTCAGTGCATGGGCTGGCAGTTTATAACTCTGACCATGTACATGTAAATGAGAATCCACCGCCTGATTGTTCAGAGCCCTACCATCAGCTAGAGGTGAGTGTTTTTGGACTTTATTAGGGCTTTCTAGGTGTGCACATTGTCTTTGGTGTGTGCACAGTGTTGCACATGAGTGTGTCATTCTAGATTCTCAAAAACATGGAAGAATCTTTTAAAGTCCCTTTTGGACGTTTCTTTCCCCCAGATTTTCCTTCATTCTCGGCAGTTATTTTTGTTGAGTACTTAAATCTAGGTTGGCCTTTTCTCTCTCAACATGTTAAAGATACCATTCCACTGACTTTTGGCTTCTAATGCTATCAATAATTTTGAGTAGGCTACTGTCTCTATAAGTGAGGCTTCTTTGAACGTCTTATTTATCTTTCTGTAGTTTTTTTGTTTTGTTTTTAATTTTGCTATAGGGTATATGTACTTGCAAGAGAGAGAAAGAGAGAGACAAAATGAAATCATCCCTCCTGGCAAGTGGGGGTTGGCAGAGATGGTCCTGCCACAATCCCTTCTTCTCCATTATTTTCTCTAGATTTTGGACATGCACACATGTGCCTGGCATGTTTTTTAATCTTCTGGGTCCAGGACAAAAACCATGCAGTTGGCCATGTGGGATCCAGCTGCCTTAACCTCTACACTACCTGCTGGCTCTCTTTTTCTTTTTAAGTTTATTTTTCTTTCTTCCAAGAGAAAGGGGGCAAGGTGAGAGAGCGACACGAACATACGCATATTCTCACAGGGTCTTCATGCCATCATCCACCTTTGGTTTCAGTCAGCCCTAAGTTACGGCACATGAATGCCTGTTTGTATCCAGGAAAGTCTCTGGACATGAACCTGGAGCCTTTCTATGGGCGCCAGACTTGAAGAACGTTGCGTTAGCATTGTGCCACCACCCAGCACCCTAGTTTCTTTCATGACAGTGAGATAAACAGGTACCCCCATAGAATCTCATGTTGCTAATTCCCCTGGCCTTCTGGCTAGCCAGGATCATGAGTGTACTCAGTGTCTGTTCGGGTTGATCCAGGATCTGGATCTCGGTCTTTATATGACTCCCGCACTGCAAAGTGGCATACTGTCCCCTACATCACCATGGTTGGACCAACCCCTGGTTTGTAATAAATGCCATTCATGCCAGGTCACCTTTTCCAACTTTATTGAAGTTAAAGTTTGCATTATTATTGATATTAATTAGTATTCATGCCATCCTTGCAAAGTAGCTTTATGCAAAGACAAAGTTTAGGAAAGAGACTGTGTATCCTAGCTTTGACTTGAAGCAGCTTGTCTGCAACAATAGGAACCAGCCTTTAGGAGAATGATGTGTATGGGCAGAAAATGTACTCCCCAGGGTTACTCAGGTGCCAGAAAAGGCCTCAGTCATGGAGAAACAAAGTAGTAGCGTTGTTACTAAGTAGCTTTTATATGAAGGTTAGAGTAGGAGTGATGACAAAACTGTTGGTTGTTTTATGTTTTTATAGTAATTACTTTTGCTTTTACTTGAAAATTTATATAAGTGATATTTTTTTACAAATAAAATCTTTTTATGTTACAGGAAATAAACATGGAGAATAATCGCAAGGCTGAGTCATCATCATCTACCTTTACTCTTCAAACTTCTGAAACATTGTTTTCTATTCAACTATTAGATTTCAAAACAAGTTTGTTGGAAGCATTAGAAGAACTGCGCATGAGAAGGGTAAGGTCCTTTTAAAAATAATTTTTTAAATAAGATAACTTGATTTTGATTTTGGTCAGGTTGTTTTTTATGGTTTCCCCCCCCACCCCAAAGAAAAGCAAAAGACCTAATAAAGTAACCTCTTATTTGGAAAGAAAATATACAGTACAAATAATGAATTAGAAAAGAATAGGATAGATAAAGTGAATGACAGGGAATGGGAAGTAAGAATTTGGAAAATAAAAAAGAGAGTAGGGGCCAGCAGATGGCATGGTGGCTAAGGGGTGTGCTGGCATATGACTGACTACTGTTTGAATCCTGGACCTGGTACCTTGAAAAATCAGCCTGGACACGTGTGCGTGTGTGCCCATAACCCTGAGAGGAGAATGGGTTGTGGTGTGGCTATCCTCCCAAGGGGTGATTTCTCACTTTTGACTCTTCCTGTCTGTCTCTGTCTGGTGAGCTCATGTGCCCTATGGCAAAAACCTTAAAAAAAAAAATAAAAGATTTTCAAATTGTTGCAAACTTTATGTCAGCTAGTATTTATTGAGTCCCCGGAATGCATTGATAGCATAATGCTTAGACCACTATGATTGATTAAAAAGAACTGCTCTTGGGGAAATTTCCTTTTTTGTTAAGTTTATAAAATAGGGAACCTATGAAATGATTAAATAATGAAATAAGGCAGCATTTTTGTTTTTTTTTTTGGAGAGATTTTCACTGTAGGGCGCGTGCGCTCGCCAGACAGACAGAGAGAGACAGAGAGACAGAAAGCGAGAAATCACCCCCCAGGGGGGATGGTCATGCAATCCCTTCTCCTCCATTCTCCTCCCGGGATCTTGGGCACGCACACACACACGCCTGGCGTGAGTTTTAAGCCACCGGGTCCGGGACACGAACAGCGGTTGACTATGTGGGAATCCAGCGACATAGCCATCACGCTAACTGCTGGTTCCCAAGGCAGCATATTATTAAGTGATAAAAGTAAATGTACGTAGTTAAGTATTCTTTATTTAACAAATCAAATATCTGGGCCGGCAGGTGGCGTGGTAGTTAAGAGTGCTGGACTCCCACATGGCTGGCTGTAGTTTGAGTCCCAAACCTGGTTACTTGCTTTTTCACTTTCCCTCTCTCTCAATCTCATTCTGTCCCTCTCTAGTCAAATTTAATAAATAAATAAATAAGTTTGAATAAAATAATTAAAAAAAAATCCTTATTTTAAAAAATGATAATTCTGGGGGCTGTCAGGTGGTGTGGTGGTTGAAGGTGCTGGACTCTCATATGGCCTACCTTGGTTTGAGTCTCGGACCTAACAGCTTGCTTTCTCGCTTTCTCTCTCTTTCTCTTTCTGTCCCTCTCTGGTCAAATTAAAAGAAAGAAATAAATGAATGAGTAAAGTTAAAATAACATAATTCTTAAAAAAAATAAGTGATAATTCAGAGCTTCTTAAAACAGAGGTGTTGGAGAACAGGCCTTCTTCAAGAGACAACTCCATGGCTCCTGCGATCTAGCCGTTTTGGGGGAAACGGAGAAATGAAGAGGTCCCACTGATAATTCGGCCTCCAGCATACAAAACTCGCGTGGTAGGAAGACCCCTTTCAGGCCTCCTTTCTCTGTATATGTCTGTCTCTCTCTACCTCTCTCTCTGTCTCTGCCTTCTCTCTCTTATTTTTAATTTTTGCGTTTTAGAATTTTTTAAGGTGAGGCATTTTTTTGGGCCTTTGGCCTCTCCTAGCCCTTTGTCTTGTTAATAATTCTCTCTCTCCCTTCCAACCCAGGAGAGGCAGAAGGGAACAGAACAGGCCTTTTTCAAGAGACAGCTCCATGGTTCCTGTGATCTAGCCATTTCTAGGTTTTCTAATTTTTGGGTTTTAATGAAATTTTTTTGAATATTGATTTTTTTTTAGTTTTATTTAAAAGGTTTTTTCTTCATTTTTTCTTCTCTTTACCTCTGTTTCTTGTCTGTTTTTTTTTTTTTTTTTTTTTTGTT